TATAAAAAAATTATAAAGATTGATTAAAATTTGAATGATTTTTATTAGAAGTAATTATTAATTTTTATATTGAGATATAAATCTTTTTGCACTAATTTATATTAAGTTTTAAAAAGATTATATAAAAATTTTTATTTTATAATTTTTATATATAATTTTTTTAAACTTAATATTTTAAAGATTTAAAAAATTAAAAATTAAAAAATTAAATAATAAATTTTATATTTAATTTTTATTATTAAATCTTGAGATATTAAATTTTAAAGAGATTATATATAAAAATTATAAAATAAAAATTTTTATTTAAGTTTTTTAAAATTTAATATCTTGAAATTTAATAATATAAATTTATTATTTGATTTTTTTAAGTTTTAATAAATTAAATAATAAATTTTATACTTAATTTCTATTATTAAATCTTAAAATATTAAGTTCTAAAAAAATTATATATAAAAATTTTTTATTCAATTTTTTAAGTTTTGATAAATTAAATAATAAATCTTATATTTAATTTTATTATTAAATTTTAAAATATTAAATCTTAAAGATATTATATATAAAAATTTTTCAAAAAATAATTACTAATATAATTAATATTTTATTATTAATAATATAAATATTTTCAAAATAATCAGAATATATTAAATTTCTTAAATAATCTAAATATTAATCATATTATTTTAAAATAATTCAAATTTTAATTTAATTTAAATATATATATAAGTAAAATTTACTTATAAATCTAAATTATTAAATTAAAAAATAAATAAAAATAGATGAAATATTAATATTTATATTATAAAATTTATAAAAGAAAATTTTAGATAAAATTATTAAACAAAACCTTTTTATTTTTAATTACTATTACTTTTTATTAGAACTATATATTTAAGTTTATAATTATAATATAATATCAGACTTAATCACATCAAATATTATATTATTACTAAATTTTTTGAAGAATTATTATTTTCAAATAAATTAATAAAAGTTTTACAATGTATATGCAATGCTAAATAAAATTTTACATGAAAAACAATTAAATAATTTATTAACGTAATTACACAAATCATGTGACTATACGAATAAAACGTTTTTTATACAATGATTATCAAATGAAATCGCCAAATAAATATGTATATAGTATCGGTATGGCGAAATGTCAAATAATGAAATTACGTTGATCATATTGATTCTGAAGATTTGTCAAATTTGATCATCCATTCAATTAAATCTTGCATGACCTTTTGTGAACAATGTTCACGCAACATATCATGTTCGCAATTCTCATACAGTATTATGGTTTTATGTTCGTCTTGTGTTTGAGCTTGGGCAAATAAATCCCGCGAGGATCTATCCTGACATACACGATCACTAAGTCCGTGTTGTGTCAGAAATGGTCTTTTAACAAGGCCAAGTCTTGGTTGAAGCCACGTGATGCCATACAATAACGATAGGCCTGTACAAGCTCTCATATTCCCATGATATGTTTGAGGATCTAAACAAAAACGAATTGGTTTTTATATAATAATTGGACAAAATGCAATATAATAAAAAAGTTATACCCGAAAGAAATGCTTCCTCTTTAGCTGGATCCCAATGACCTTTCCCACGATTTGCAGGAGCTAATGGTAACGTGCCAAGTGGTGACGAAACAATGGCTTTAGCGATATACTCGATAACCTTAAGAGGACGACTAGAACCAGCCACGTAAACTAACGGACACAACACACTAAAAGCATCAATATCCGTAGGATACTTGATCGCATAAGAAATCGTGACAAATCCACCCAAAGATCCACCTCCTAATATCACTTTTCTTTTTCTTTCTTTGTTAAAAGTTGTATTACTTGCGTTTTGTTCCTTGACATGAGCAATTACCACGCGAACCGCTTCTATTAATTCTTCCCAATCATTAATGCAAGCATGTAAACCACTCGACCTTCCAAAGCTTGGCAAGTCTATAGCAATGACACGAAATCCTTGTTCCAGTATTGGAATGCAGTTCTCTGAAAATCGGCCACCATAGTCATTTAAACCATGAACCCAAACAAAATCGGTATTACGTTGTTTGACACATGACAAAGACCAAGTTTGATAATATATGAATCGGTCAAATGCACCTTTGAAAGGAAATGGAATGGAATAGTCGGTGCAAATGTATGGTTCTTGACGTAATTTTTGTTCTGTTGGAGAGAAAGGAAGAGAAGCACGACCATAAGTTAAATCTATAGACCTCTTTTCATAGAATGCGTTTATTAACGGTACGACTAGAGCGTCATAGAAAGTAACGACTGAATTTTGAATTGCGGTTACGACAGGATTAGGTGAAGAGGCAGCCATCAAAAAAACGTTTTTTACAAGGTAAAGTTCATGTTTTTAAATATTTTTGACATGTTTTGTCCCTTAATTCATTTATCCAATGGTCTGCATAATATATTACATGTGGTACTATTGGAGAAACAAAATTGTCGGCTCCAACATGCTCTAAGAACTTCGGATTTGTTATGCCGGGGTTGATAAAAAATTTGCGCATTCTTATTCGCTTTAGCGTATCCCCAATTAAAACAGATCTTGGCATTGGTGAAACCTGACAGATATTTGTCTAACATTTACCATGTGGCGTATGTGTATAACATTTGAACCATTGTTATTGCATCGTGTATCAGTGATCAAGATCAATAATTATTTCCGAAATTCTTTGCAGAGATAACGATAGATATTGAATATTATAGATATTATCTTTTACTTAGACCTTTTCCATCTAAAACTATGGAGTAAAAATTAGCCATCTTTTTTGGAGATGACGTATTGTATTTTTGGTTGAGGCAATTATATTTGTGGATAAGTGGGCGAGTGTGTAGAAATAGAAACACATAAATACAATATGAAGTTGATTGGATAACTGTGTGCACAACAAATTAGATAAAAGCACAACCAGAGTCCATAAAAAAAAAATACTACCATTATTTAAGATAACTTACAACTATACTTTTCTTACGTTTTTTCGCTCAATAATCTCAATAGTACAAAGATGGTAAGTCCAAGTCATTTATAACGTTAAATGTTTTGCATCGCCCACAGGAGGAAACGGCGAAATGGATGTTAATGAATTTAGTGTTAGTTGTTGACTGTCTTTTTGAAATAATTTCTGGTCATCTCAGGCTGACCAATTAACTGAAGAGCAGATTGCTGAGTTCAAGGAAGCGTTCTCTCTTTTTGACAAAGACAATGATGGTACTATTACCACTCGTGAATTGGGTACAGTTATGCGTTCGCTTGGTCAAAATCCAACGGAAGCAGAGTTGCAAGACATGATAAACGAGGTAGATGCAGACGGTAATGGAACCATCGATTTTCCTGAATTCTTAACTATGATGGCTCGTAAAATGAAAGATACAGATTCCGAAGAGGAGATAAAAGAAGCATTCAAGGTTTTTGACAAAGATGGTAATGGTTTTATTTCTGCTGCTGAGTTGCGGCATGTAATGACGAATCTTGGCGAAAAACTTACCGACGAAGAAGTCGACGAAATGGTAAAGTACCCGAGAACTATCAGTATTTTATTATAATTTTTTTGGTAAACGATATTTAACAAAGTTTTTAATCTTGAAACATATTTATACGATAGATTCGTGAAGCTGACGTTGACGGTGACGGTCAAATCAATTACGAGGAATTTGTTAAAATGATGATGACCAAATAAAACTATATACAAAATATGATGATCAATACAATATATTTGCGTTTATCTACGTGCTATTTTTATTTTGGAAGCAAGGAAAAATTAATTAATTTTCAATTAATTCATGCGAGGGGTTTAAATACATTAATAATAAACTTGTGTGCCGTATCTCTGTAGATTATTTACATCCATTTTAGACAGAGAAACATTCATTTCAAATTCTGCATTTTTTATTATTTACTGTACCATTTTTCTTCTTTCATTCATTATTTATCTAGCATAAAATAAAATCAGAAATTTCCACACCAAATAATTGTTTTTCTGGTAAAATTCGGAAAGCAAAAATTTATTAATTTCTCGAAGCTAGATTTATTAAATACAATTAAGATATGAATCAGAACCCATTTAATAATTGCAAAGCTAGTTTTTCATGATCTTCTAAAGTTTCTGGTTCCTCAACTTCCAAAATTTTTGCTCTCTTGTTATCTTTACGCACTTGCTTTCCGTCGTACTCTTCTTGATCAGAAGTCGCTTTATCTGACTGCAAGGATTCGATATTCCGTTTATTTCCATAGCTCTTTATGTCATCAAGTTTATCAAGCTGCACCGCCTCTTCTTGGCTCTCTTGATATTCGTCGTCTTCGCTTTGAGGGCTAATCAATACGGTTTTAGGACCAAGTTCCTGCGCTTCCATTTCTGCTTTCAATTTAGCCTTATATTTTAATTTTTTTTGCCTGCGTTTTTCCTTCGCTATTCTCTTATCGATGGCATCTTGATTTTTCATTGCTGTCAATTCTTTTTCGACGAATGCTTGTTTTTGGACAACTGGGGCTCCCGCTGCTAGAAATTCTCGTTCGTCTTGAAGTTCGTAAACTTGGTGAGGCTAATTCATAAATTATCCGATAATTGTATAAAAATAGTTGATTGAACCCAGAGAAACGCGAAATGAAAATGAACATTATTGCTTACATTGCCTTCATCATCATATATCAGCTTTTGACCTTTTTTAGAATCTTTAGCCCATAGTTTTTTAGATGTAGCTTTTAATAGTTTTCGTTTTGAAGTTGGTTCACTAGTCTGAAGATTACAAATCTATTAATGACTGCTAATTTAATTAATACTTGACTAATAAATAAAAGTTACCTTTTGTTCTAATTCATCTGGCAATTCATGATCAATCCGCTTAAGACTCAATAAATCACCATCTTCCGAATCAATGGCGATTTTATCGCCTTCATGATCAATAAGCTTTTGATAATGTTCTGAAAGCACAGTTCTATTTTTTCTACTAAACAGTTTTTCAATTTTGGTTTTTGGTTTATTTTTGTTTTGCTTTTGTTGTTCAATTTCTTTTGTCGATCCTTGCTCGTCGTCATTTTCTGAATCAGATGTGAGAGTTGCATCATTAATAATGTTACTATCTTCTTCATCTGTTGTTCGCTCGGATTCTGAAACTTGCTTAGGTCTTTGTCGTATTGCATTCTTTGTTTCGGATTTCTATTCGATTTGTCAAAATAAAATAAGTTACATATCGAAATATTAAATAAATTGGATACTCTAACATAGTAAAAACCTTTATAAATTTTATTTTTGGAGTGCCAGGAAGGCCAAGAGATTCGGCATATTTTTCTGCAGGCAGTTCGTCGACTTTGAAAATCAATTTATTTTTCTGAAGATAAACGGACCTCATATACGACTTAAATGCCTGATATCAATAGAAAACTGTGTTTTGTGAGAGAGAGATATATGTTGTGCCTCAGATATCAACTTGCGTCATATGTTGTTTCACGTGATTCCCTTCGGCCAACATTAAACTATCGCTCCAGCACTAACCCTGACTTTTAGTAGAACCCCTATTCCAACTTTGGCCAAGCGACATCTCTGAGTCACAACATATGTGTACCTTAATAGTTAGAATAAAGAGGAATAATCTTGTCGTACCTTTTGTCCTAAATATTTGATTTCTGGATCACGAAAGCATAATGACTGTAATTGGTTTTGTATACTAATAATTTTACTCGACTTCACATTGATTTTCTCTATCGGAACTTTCTTTGCCTTCAATGCATCAATCATAGCTTCTTCTTCGGATGGCAATAATAACAACAATCCTTGTCCCGAGGCTTCATATCTTGCCGTGCGACCTACTCTATGAATATAGGTTTCTGCATCCTCAGGTGCATCAACCTGAATCACCCAATCTACCGCCGGGAAATCCAAACCTCTTGCAGCTATATCAGTAGCGAATAAATATGCACATTTCATGTTTGAGAATTTATTAAATATTTCGACTCTTTTTGTTTGTTTTTGTTTTCCGTGGAGATGTAATAATGGAACACCTGGATGCATTTTGCAAAATGTTTCGAAAACGAACCTGACCTATGATATATACACATGAATATTGTAAATTGGTTAAGTGGATTTTAAAGAAAGGCAAAAGAATTAAAAAACCGTTGGTCGTTACTTGTTTACAACTTGATAAGAACACCAAAACTTTCGATTTTAAATGGGACTTAATGAACGAGAATAAGTAATCTAGTTTTTGCGGTAATGGGCATATTATATAATGTTGCGCGAGACGTTGTGGCGTGCTATATTCCGATTTTTCGTGTACCGCAACATAAGCTGGATTCTTAGAGCATGCCAGAATTAGAGGAAAACAATAATATCCAAGTATCATGATTAAAGATAATGAATCAGTTTTATAAATACCTTTAAGCTCAATCTTGCTAAATCTTTAACAGATTTTGTTTGAGTCGCAGAAAACAGAAGAGTCTGTCTCTGTTTTGGCAAATTCTCAATTATAGCGTTCACAGTTTTCTCAAAACCTAAATCGAGAATACGATCCGCCTCATCCAATACTATATACAATCGAAATTTTCGAAAAAAAATATTAAAGTAACATACGAAATAAGTAAACATTACTATAATATTCTAATTTTATTTTAAGTACCTAGCATTTGTAGGTTACTGCAATCAAATCCTACAGTTTGATCCATATGCTGTAACAATCGTCCCGGGGTGCATATAAGAATATTCATTCGACTGATACGCTCTTGCTCGATGTTTACATTTTTTCCGCCAATTACAAGACCAGCAGATAATGAATGTTGTCGACCGATAGCTCGAAGAACTTCGAATATTTGGACAGCCTATATTTCATAAAGGTAGTTAAAACAATAATGAATCAAATAATATATCATGTGCAATTTAATATCAAAAAGTACTCACCAGTTCTCTTGTTGGCGCGATGACGAGAGCACCTAGTCCATCGAATTGTGTCCATTTTTTTCGATAGAGCAATTCGATAAGCTATAAGCAGAGTCAAACTATTTAGATTAACATTAAACCATGAAGAAAATAGTTATATTACTTCACAAAAACCTACAGGAATCAAAAATGCCAAAGTTTTCCCACTCCCAGTTTTTGCAGCACCCAAAACATCACGTCCATTTAAGGCAACTGGCAATGCTTTTCGTTGAATTTCAGTCATTTCTAGGTAATGTACACTGTTGAGCCCTTTTAGCGTTTTCGAAGATAACGGAAGTTCGTAGAAATTTACGAATTCCCTGTCTTTGAGTGACTAAAAAAGAATTTTGAATAAAGTTGAAGCATCGAGAGCATAAATTTTGATATCGAAAATAGTAAATATCAACCAATTCTTCACATTTAGCCTCCAAATTATCTATTTCATTAAATTCTTGCTCACGTTTTTCTTTGCGGGACAAGGGTTTACGTTTTGGGTTTCGCGAGCCCATTGTGAGTGAGGAAACTAGGTTTACTTCAAAAATAAATTTTGTCGATTGATTCCCACGTTAATGGGGTCCACTAAAGCGGGGTAGTATCATGTGACATGTGATTCGATCCGGATCGTATCATGTGATTTTAAATTACGTTAAAATTCATGATTGGTCAAATCAAATCATGTGAATTATTTTAAGAGCCTGGGAAGGGAGAAAGTTAGATCGTTTAATTAAGAGCTTGATCATCATTATTTAAAGAATATTTAATCATTAGGCATATTAGAAACCTATATTAATGAAAAGAAAAGAATAGATTACTTAACCATCTAATTAGCTATTTTATTGAATTATTTCTAATAAATTGTTTATATTGCTATTTTAAAAACTGAATCTAACGATTTATCTAAATAGTGATAAATACTCTAGTAGTATTTGCATCATCTTTATCCTCCATTGTCCAATATTTGTCTCACACTCTTTCTATAAGTTCATTCACCTGCAACTTATGTGTTTCTATCTCTCTTTTCTCTTGAGTCTGAATAAGCTCAGATATTTTGATCATTTTCTGATACTCATACACTTCAAAGCCAGTCTTCACAAATAATTACTAAAATTTCTCTCAAATATCAGTCATTAGTAATTTATTATAATTGAATAGATACTTATAAAGAATATATTGATAAGAAAGAAGATAATAATTAAAAAATATATAATGATAATTCAATAATATCAGATTTGATAGTGATTTTCCTTTTATAATTCTAAAATTTATAGTAATAGCCTTATCCAAGATTAGTTTTTGAATTGATATGAAAATTTTTGAATTTTCTCAATAGTTTCATCATCAATATTGATCACAAAGATTCATTTTTGATGAAAATTAAAGGTAATCTTTTTCAAATTCAATTACTTTTTATTATTAAGCTTAATAATCTTGTAATATATACCTAATAAATCAAAAAATAGTAATTTAGTAATAATGATGATGGCAAAAAATATGATATAGTTGTAGTTAATAATGCTTATCAATTAAGTTATATTCCTTTGTGATTAATTTTTTTAATTTGCTATGAAATAATTTTAATAGATTCATGGAAGTAACTTAAAATAAGAGAGATAAATATTAATATATCTAAAATACCCATTTCTCTATGTTCTTTGAATAATTATGTTGAATATAACAAATGATATCTGAAATAGGATAGGTGATGATGGTATTATGAATTATTTTCTTGCAACTTATACTTATTTTTTTATGCATAGCTAGAATCAATTTATTATATATTATCAGATGATAGATATTATATAATCATATATGCATTATGTGAATAATACATAAAATAATATTATAATTTTGCTTATCATATATAATACTAAAGAAAGTATTTATAATATTATTAATCTCCACATTGCTTTGATTGCTAAGTACATATCAAGAATACTAATAAAGTATAAATTCTTGAATCATCTTTAATATCTTGATTATCATATTACTATCTTTATTATTTAGAAGAAAGTATGTATTCACATTTTAGGAATTATAATTATCATGAACGTATAAAGTAAATAGATACCAGAAATATTTGTTAGTATTGTGAGTGAAGTCTATAAGCGTAAATTATTCATAATGCTATAATTTTTCTAATTATCAAGAATTTATGAAGTAAAAATCTTTTGATGATTATTAAGTAATCTCAAAATATTTAACTTTATAATCTTTACTGACTAATAACTTGAGTGAATTTTAAATATCAAACTCTAGATCCATTTTGTCTATAAGATAAGCCATTAATAGTCTACGTATCTTTTGCTAAATATTAACAACTTCAGTTCAGTATAGATTTTGATCAATAATGTCTAAGTTATTCTTTTTTATTAGTTCTTTGATAGTAATTACAATAGCTAGTGACATATATAATTTTATTACTTCATTAGCTATTATTTATTGAATAATTTCAGATTATTTAATCTTGTTATTATCTTCAATTGAATGACTATAATTAGACATATTTTTAAAATATTCAATATAAACTATTTGAGTTAAAGTAATATGTATTATTTTTATTCTTGTATCACACTTTCCAGGATCAAGCTTGCTAGTTTTTCTTCGCTTCTCAATGGAAATACCTTTTTTACATGTACTTAATTCTCTATATTTTGCTAGATGGCAGAAATAAACAATCTAAAAATCATTATTCTTATATTTTTAACCATTATATCACATCCACATATTAGAATAAGTGATCACAAATTTTCACAAAATTCCTTTTCTGAAACTTCAAATGATTTGTTAACATTAAATATACTGAGATATTTTTTATTTGTTGCTTGCATATTAGAGAGAAATAGAGAAATAATAAGAATATAGAGAAATATGAAAATATAAAGAAATGACAAGAATATATATAAAGAAATTATGAGTATGTATGATGAGTAAGTATATTAGTGCATGTCTTAAATGTTATTAGTCTTAATTAGTCTGGATTTAACATAAAAATCATAATTAGCTTCCACCCTCTCCTCTTCTTACTCTTGAAATATGAGAATGTTTTCTTGAAAAGTTTATTTTATTTTGCATGTAACACTACATGTAAATCCGAATCAAATCAACCCAGATCGACTCAATCCGGATTGCACTACCCCGCTTTAGTGTTTCCCAATCACGTGATATAAGGGGGATTTTGATTGGATCTGACGAATTTCTTATATCAAGATCTTTTTATTATTACAATTGCAAGCATACATTTACAGAGTATGCATTTAGAGAAATAACTTGGGTCTGTGATATCTTTTTTTGTAAACCGTAATATCTTGATCCGATTCTCAAGTCAACTGAACCTCTCGACATCGTTCTTGGTGTACACATCTTCGGAGACTACTCCTAGAATGTTATGTGCAATTTTGAAATATATATAAAAGAAGGGGCTACCAAAAACCGTGTTCTGCTCTCTTGTATTCAGGAATTATTATTAACGATGGTGAGCCAAATGTCTCTAGAAAATTTAATAATGCTGTATTTTAAAATTTCAATTTTAAGTTAACGTTAAGCGATTCTTTGTGTGTACAGTAAAAGTCCTAGAATTTTAGGGCCGGTATATAGCGATAGTGCTTTTATTAGCAAATTCAGTGTATAGGATGTTTTTTTACATATGTAGTCAGAAATTGGTTTATTAATGTCTGGTGTATATGACGCCGTTGTAAAGGACTTGACTCCCTTATGACGAGATCTCAATTATATGTTAACGACTCTGAATTAAAGATTAATATATGAGGTAATTCATTATTGTCCATAAACTTAGTGAACGGTTTAGCTGTACTATACTAATTTCTAAATTGCATTTAAAAGAAACAAACTTTGCGAAAAAAAGATCACGTGCGAATTTTTCAAAACAGGAATTATAAAAAAAAAGTTGTGCAATCAAATGATACTGACTGATGAATGATGATACTATAATATATTATAAAAACAATACTTGATGGTAGTACCACCAAACAAAAAACTCTTTAGCTATAGGTAAAAAACTCGTGTGTGAGAAATAAATATTACTAACGACAAAAGAATTTCAAAAATTTGGTTCGAGGAAGTATATTATTATTTTATTGGGAACGCAGTTAGTCTATTATTTTCTTTCCCAAAAAAACAGCTAGCTGTACAAAACTGGTTTTTTTTTGAAAGAAAAGAGTAAGTTTACCTATTTAAATTAATTTATGCAATGAATTAAAGAAGTTTGTTTAATTACTAATTCGTTGATTTTGTCGGGGAACATGAACTTCAAGAACAGTGCAACATGGATCCTTCTGCAGCACTTTTAAGTCTTCTTCACCAACCCTCCTCTTCAGCTGACTCGTCATTGGCTGGTCAACGGAGTCCAACTGCATTCTCTCCACACAACTCGCAATCCACGACGACTGTTCAGTCAAATCCATTGCCTCAACAAAACTCTACCGTTAGTAGCAGCACTAGTACTGCGTTATCACTTTTCAGCATGCCTCAATACCCTTTACACACATCACAGCAGCAGCAACAGTACAATGGTTTCATGTCAAGCATGGTTTTACCAGCTACCACTGGTGTTCCTCCAGCTCCACCGCCTCCGCCAACTCAACAAATTGGCGGATCCTCAACTCCATCACAATTAACCCAGTCACTAGTTACGCCACCACCAGATCCGTTAACCACCTTGTTTCAAAGCTTGCATTCGCAACCGATACCGATGGCTCCACCGCCACCACCGATTCCTAAATCTGTTATAACACAAGCCGAAGTTCAAGAGACAAGAGCGTCTAGTGAGTCTGATTCTCCTACTACATCCGTTCATATAAACGGGGATACTTCGAATGGAAATCCCACGTTTACTATAGATAAGGAACCGTCATCATCTTTTTCATCATTGAAATTACCTTTTTTCGGTTTCAATCCTTCTGGATCCAATATTAATGAAGAAGAAACGTTCGTATTAAATAAATTTGCTGTAACTTTTCAAATCGTAAATCATCGTCATCAAAGTATTTAAAAATATCATTACTTAAAATTATTTAGTCAGGTTCAGACAGAACGTATAGACTCGACTTCTACACCTTTAGTATCTTCCGTAGTTCAGAATACTAATCAGTCCGAACTAGAAAATAATAAACTTTCACCTCCTGAAAAATCAAATGTTGATCGGATAAACACACCGGTGGAAGTAATTGATTACAACAACCTTTCAGCACATGTAATGAAGTCATCGTCAGCAAAATCAACTCCTCCACCTGAAAAACAATTATCGTCGCCAGTTACAAAATCAATGTTTACTTACACAAATCCGTTTGATTTGCTGAAAAATTCATCACCTTCTCCTCCTCCTAATCGGGAGTTTAATCATATCCAACTAACGTCTAATACACAAACTTCACCTACGCAAAAAAAGCGAGAAATTACCTCGCATGCTAAAGAAGGTGGAATGTTTTCGCGTCCTTTGCATCAGATAGAACCGTTTTTATCGGGATTATCAGCATGGAATGTTCGTGCTACTTCTGCACCGAAAAATGATTTGAGGTAAATAATAATTAATAAACCTTAACTAATGAAATATTTCAAGATCAAATTTATTAAAAAATCTTCTATGTAATTGCATTACTAATAGTCCTCCCGATGGAGTGAGACTCCCACCAGGTGATATTTTGTATAGTGCAGCGGAAAGAAATGAGGCAGTATTATGTACAAAAGACTTGAACACTGAGACTATAACACTTATTCCGAGTGATCTCGAATATCGAGTTGGGAAATCAATAGCTGTTAATGGACAATATATTTGTTATACTGTTAAAGGTAATATTAGGATTGAGAATATTCAAAATCTACATTATATGTTAATTGATGAATGTTGTATGTATATAGCTGGAAAAGTTCGAGTTATTAGCTCACTTTACGGCAGCAAAACATTATTGCGTAAACATGAAAAACCAATTGTTGATATAAGTATTCAGAATTCATATATACCTGATATTGACGCGCCAGTTGACAAGCAATTACTTCTGGTAATTGGATCTGATAGTAAAATTACTGTATGGGAACTTTCAGATGCACCTCAAGAGCAGAACGCCGAAATTCCGTATGTATTTAATATATTAAACAACTATTTAATTATTGGGTTTATCAATGTTTGTCTTGGCAATTTATAGATCTAAAACGATCCTTGAGATTGATGGGAAAGATTTGACTGATGATAATCATTGCCGATATCTTCGTGCTATTTGGCATACTGTTAATCGTAACATGTTTGCAGTGGCAACAAATACTAATGATGTACTTATTATTGATATTAACAAGTTATTGGATGGTGCAGAGTCCGGAAGTTTCAAAGAGCACGAAATTTCTGAAAAGATTCTTAAAACTGATCCTCATGAAGAGGTTAGCCGGTTAATTTTTACTCAATACTCCGTAAATAATACCTGTCTTGTTAAGCAAAACATTTACTTTTTCTCATTTCCTATAGACTATTAATGATATGACATTTTCATTTGATGGAACGATTCTTGTGACTGCAAGCCATGAGAATATTATGTTTTCCGAATTAGAGATTAATAGCGATAATATTGTCGAAGGAATTGGTCCAGCTCATAGAATAATTCTGAGCGGGGAACAATGTAGCTCTGTGTTTCTAGTTAATCCTCAAGACTTGTCTCCTGAAGCGACGATTCCCCCATTAAAATGTAATTACGCGATAATTGGTACCGAACGTAATACCACTATACATTTATATGATGTCATCGAAGGACAAACTGTACAGACTATCAAGTTTTTGCCGCCTCCTGCACGACGTCCATCCTTGAACAAAGCATACCGAAAAGAAGATGACATGTTTAATTGCATTGATTACGATCAGCGTACACGTACTTTAGTTCTTGCGAATAGCGCAAGAATATCTATTATTACCTTGCACTTGAATATTCCTCAAGGAAAGGTAGACACTTACCATATTTCCCCTGAACAGACAAATATAGGTATCCCAGGAGTTATTGAAACTGAGCAAACGGACTCACTTGAAGATTCTTCTTTTAATTCGCCACAGTTCGATTATCTAATCGAATTCCCAGTAAATCAATTAGTTGGAAGCTTCGTCCTTGTGTCAGATCCGTCCTCGGGCTCTCATGAGTCCGAGGGTCTGTCTTTCTATTGCATTCAATCAAAAGCTGTACAACAATATTACATCGCTAAAGAACTTCTGTATCCGAGCAACATTGACCATTGTCCAATATTTGAGAGCACGACGCGATCAATCGGTCAAGTTGAGCAAGACGACCGGATAGTAACTCATTTGGACGAAAGAGGTGATTTTAAAAAAGAAGAGCCCGAAAAGAATGTTTCTAAATCATCTGTTAAATCCGAAAATTCACAATATTCCAATAATGAAGAAAATTTAACGGAAAAAGATAATTTCAAAGAAACAGTTGTTGCGACTGGTACTGAAACTGCTTCTATTGATGTAATTGCTAATACAGAAACGGTAACCGTTGAAACGGAAACAACCGAAAAAGTGGAAAATGCCTCAGGTAATAATAACGAGTCAGTTATTAGTAGTAATATCGTCGTTGTTTCTGAGGAAACAGAAGGAAGAGGATTGGATCAAAATAACAATAATAACAAAGTCGACACTACATCTGGTATTAAACTCTCTGGTACGGCTGTCAATGGGGCTATTTCAAAAATAAAAAGAAAGGGTCTTCCTTCCTCATCAAATCAAACTGAACCATTATCTGATCCAGAGAAAAGTTCAAGACGTAAAGAATCACGTCGAGCCATGGAAAGAGAAGGAGGAATTGAGGGTGAAACTACAGGTAAATCCGCTGGGAAAAAATCTCTTGACGGTGGT